TTACATCAAAATCTTTGCGTTTGCAAAATTTCGCTGCAGTGAAACCAAAAAAACTGGGAGGGCTTGATTGGTAATCTTGCCTACAAGTTGGGTGACCCGGTTGACGGTGAATCCCAAATCTTCGAGGTCGCTATGAATATCCGTTGTTTTTGTATCCTTGGGCAATCCTTTTATGACCACCTTTATTGGTCGTTGGGCTTTGGGGGTAATTGAGTAAAACTCGTATTTTAGTTTTTCTAGGAGGTTTTCTAGTTCGTGGTATTCGTCGAGAGTGTCGGTGTATAGTTTTATATACTCGCCATTTTTACTTCTGAGTTTGGGCATTAGGTCATTTAAAGTTTTCATTTGCTCTCTGAATGTGAGCGTGATTCTAAGCATGATGGGGGTGGGAGGTTTGTGTTAGTGGTGTTGGTTTTATTAGCAGTTACATTAATATTTTTATTTATTCGCCTGACATTAGGAGTGTTTTGGTTTGTATAACTGTGGTTGTATTTGAGTCGGAGGAAGTTCCCGCAATAGGTTCGATGCTAGTTTCCATATTATCTAAGGCAGCGAATTTATTGCTTAAATTAATTTCAAAATTTAGTTCGGGGTTCGAGTTTGTCCTAAGGTTTTTTGGTAAGTCGTCTATTTGTGGCGATGTAAATCTGTCGTCATTTTCTTTCCTTTTAATCGAATTAGTTTTAGGCAGGGGTGGGAAATCTTGCATTAAGTTTTTTTATAGGGGAGTTATGTGGGGTGTTATGTTCTGTACAGCTGGGGGTATCACAAGGGGGTAGAGAGGAGAACTCACTTACAGCACTTTGATGTCTTGCTTGGATGTCTTTTAAAATCTGGAGTTGTAGGCTCAAGGATTCATCGTCGGCAATTCCATTGAGTCGGAGGGCATTCAAGGTAGCTTCTTGGTAGCTGATGAGAATCGTTTCCCTTTTTATCCGGTAGGCAAGATCCTGAAGCCGTTGACAAGTAGAGAGACGTGGTGTTCCGGGCCGGGAGCTGTGTGCCGAGGGTGGCTGAGATAAGTCCATTCCATTTCCGTTGTCCTGGTGCTGGTCCGTATTCAGTTCCATGTCAGTTCCAAAAATTCGTATAAGGTGTGAGTAGTTTAGGTCGTCGACCCAAGCTTGCTGCTCTAAAAAGAGCTCAATCGCAATTGAAAACTCTAGTGCTGAGACCTGAGAGCGAAAATCGTAATCAGGAGGGTATGTCAAGCACGTCCTAACGCTATCCTTTCAATCTCGAAAGTCTTAGAGGGATCTCTGAGCTAGTTGGAAGTGAGCACGAGAGAGCGATTACACCAGATTTTTGCTTTTATACCAACAGTGCAAGCGCGTGACTATTACGTAATAGTTCTGATTGGCTAGAATGCGCGCGACAGGGATTTCGGCTTAGCCGATTACGATTAAGATTACAATGTTTATTTTTAAACTAAAGAATTAAAGTTTGTTTAAATATTAGTGCAAAGAGTTAACAAAATTTCACTAGAGGGAATTATTACATATATATATACAGGGTATCCCCGAATGCCGTTTACAATCTTGGAGAGGAGGTAGATAACACGTCCTGAGGAGACATAATTACAAAGAAAAGCATGAGCGGAAAGCGATAGGTGGAGCTGTACGCGAGCTCGCAAGGTCGGCATATGTGTGTGTGGTTTCCTCATATCAGACACGGACAGCGTGCGAACGCCGAATTGGCGGATATTCACTTCATCAACAACCTAGCCAACGGAAACGGTTAAATTGCAAGAGGAAAGATATCCATCGAAGCTGCAACCGAATTATCAAACGTTCACTCGAGTGTATCAGAACATGAATCTTTCAGAACCCTGATTGAAGGTACTGGGCGGCCACGAACAGCATGAGCAACCATATTTGAAGAGGGCGTGTTGCATGCTGTGGACCGAAATCCCGGTCCTAGTCTATGGGTCGTTGTAGACGGAAGATCTCAAACAACTGTCCATTATGTACAGCAGAGCGAAGAGTTCCATCCATTTCATGTACAGAGAGCGCACTTGTTACAGCCCGATGATCACCCACGATGTGTCGCGTTTGCACAGTGGTTTATTAATCAAAGTGCGGCAGATATGCACTTTGCCAGTTCCGTGTTGTTCTGTGATGAAGCAAGCTTTTCACGTGAACGCGCATATGTGTGCCTTAAACAAGCCACACAGCATCCTATCACGTGACGCACAACAACGCTTCATTGTTAATATGTAGGCAAGTATGGTGGGAGACAGTTCGCGTGGCCCCCATATCTTACCGCCTCGACAAGTATCTCGTCTTTCTACAGGAGATACTTCCGCAACTGCTTACAGATGTCCCAACAGTATGTGGTTCGACGCCGCGTGTGGTTTCAACAGGACGGGGAGCCATCTCATTATGGGAGGTGTGGATATGACCATTTGGACCAGGCATTTCCAGACAGGTGGATTGGGCAGGGTGATACTATCGCTTGGCCTCCTAGATCTTCTGATTTATCTCCTCTGGAGTTTTTTCACTGGGGTACCATGAATTCACCCGTCGATTCTGAAGTTGACTTGGTGGCACGAATATCCATAGCAGCTTCTACAATCCCTAAAACGCCCGATATTTCCAAACATGTCCGCCACTCCATGTCGCGCGTGCATACATGCCAATGGACGCAATTTCGAACATCTCCTGTTATACTTTTTTGTTTATTATGGTTTTCTTTGTGTAATAAAGCGTTTTACACAACACATTTTGTGCTGTGGCCTTACTGTCTTTTTGTCTCTTTATCTTCCTCCCATCATTTCCTATGTAATTATGGCTCCTCAGGATGTTCACTACCTCCCCTCGACACTGCATTAGGGGACACCCTGTATATATATATATATATATATATATGGACGAAAGAGGTTCCGTATCCTCCAGGTGAAGACGCTGTGCCGTGGGACATGGATAGGCCGAATCAGAACTGGCACGTACTAGGGAAATCCGACTGTCTAATTTAAACAAAGCATTGCGACGGCCAGAGACCGGTGTTAACGCAATGTGATTTCTGCCCAGTGCTATGAATGTCAAAGTGAAGAAATTCAATGAAGCGCGGGTAAACGGCGAAAGTAACTATGACTCTCTTAAAGTCACCAAATGCCTCGTCATTTAATTTGTGATGATCATGAATGGATCAACGAGATTCCCGCCGTCTAGCGAAATCGCAGTCAAGGGAACGGGCTCGGCAAATTCATAGGTGAAAGAAGACCGAACTTGACTCTAGTCTTACTCTGTGGAGAGGCATAGTCTAGGTGGGAGTTTACACCTCTGTGAACGGAATTAAGAAATAGGTAGCCTTTTTACTGATACAGTCAAATTCTTTAATGAGGTTCCAATGGGAAGCTCTAATTATGTGTTTTGAGCCCCACTCGATGAAGAGTGTGTGAAAGAACTCCGAAGAGAGTGTCAGGCAGGGAGTTTGTCTGAAGCGGAATAAACACTGGTGTGCAAAACTTAAGCAACAATGTAAAAATTTAGCAGATAGCCATGAAATTGCAGAAAAGGAGGTCTGGAGATCAGTACAGTGAACACGTAAGTCAGTAGAAACGTCATGCGTATGCAAATATCAGGAACAAAACGTCAGAAGCGATGTGAGCGTACGCAAAACGCGTGATGTCGGCGCGCGCTGCTCAACAGTAGAATGAAATGAAGGACGGAGACGCAATTCACCATATTCTCTGCAAGTGCCAGTGAGTCAGTTCGTGAAATATGGCTAGAAGAAATCATCTGGATGACTTCACACGTGGAAGAATGATCGGAAAGCTGGAGGAGGGGCGTACTGTCACCAGTGTAGCTGCAGAGTTCGGAATCAACAAAAGTGTCGTTTCGCGCCCTTGGAAAGCGTTCCAAACCACAGGTACAGCTGTTAGAAAGGTTGGTGTGGCCGCCCGAGAACGACAACTGCAGGGGATGAACGATATATCATCCTGCAGGCGAAAAAAGTTCGACAGCATTCAGCAAGCGCCATTGCTCAGAAACTCTGTACAGCAACAGGTCGACAAGTGTAGCGGTTTACTGTGGCCAGACGCCTTCACAAAGGGGCCTGTTCACCCGTCGTCCTGAACGCTGCCTCCCGTTGAAAGATGGCCAACGAAGCCACCGTTTACAGTGGGCCATAGAGCACAAAAACTGGACAACTGATCAATGGAGTCGTGTCCTCTTTACGGATGAGAGTCGGTTCAGTACCAGAAGCGATTCTCAACGCGTTTTGATTTGGAGAGAGATCGGGACCCGGTTTTATCCCAGTAACATCAAGGAAAGACATCGTTACGGTGGTCCTGGAGTTCTTGTCTGGGTTGGCATTATGCTGAACGGCGGAACTGAGCTTCCCATTTTCGACAGAGGGTCTGTAACCGGGGATCGCTATTGTGAGGAGGTACTTCTTCCCATCTGCATCTTTTCCGAGGTGCCATTGGCCCAGACTTCATCTTTATGAATGACAATGCACTGCCACATAGCACTCTTGCTGTTGAGGAGCTGCTGGAAAGTGAAGATATCACTCGAATGGATTGGCCAGCGTGCTCCAGATTTAAATCCCATCGAACATGTGTGGGATGCTTTGGGGAGACGTATTGCCACACGCTCACATCATCCGGAGTACAACCAACAACTCAAACAGATGTTGATTGAGGAATGGGCATTCCTACCTCAAGAAATGTTGCACCAGCTGGTTCTGAGTATGCGGAGACGGTGCAAAGCAACCATTGTAGTAAGGGGAGGGCATATACCATATTAAGGAACATCTGCTTGTTGTTCTTCCTGTTGGATAGACAATCATGAGTCACGATACTATGCGTTCAATAAAGTTTGTTTTGTTTGATTCCATACCATATGCGTTGTATTCCTTTTTCAGCGCCGATGCTTTTGTCATCCTTTACGTACATAATACTCTCCCTCATTTCAGAATTTCATGTCTCTCAGATGATTTTTCGTGAAGTTATGGCAATAAACCCACCTGTTGCTTAAGTTTTGCACACCAGTGTATATCACAAATGGCAACGCAAGTATCCCAAGGTGGCTCGGCCGGGACGGAAACCTGGCTTGGAGTCAAGGGGCAAAAGCCGGCTCGATCTCGTTCTTTAGTAAGGAAGGGGACCACGAAAGCGGGGGATCCTTTCTTTTTTTTTAAAGTCTAATGAGAGAAGGGACAGAAAAGTTATTAAAGCAGCGTTTCTCAAACTGTGGGGTGCGCCCCCCTAGAAGGGCCCGATAACCCTACGAGGGGGGGGGCGCCAGCATATTGAAAAGTAGAAAACTAAAGAGATTGATTTAGAGAAATTATTAATTTACTGAAAGTAAACAAATAAAATACATTCTGAAATAAAAAAATAAAATACATTCTGAAATAAAAAAATAAAATACACATTTACACTGATATAATACATTTATAAATATATCGGCACTGCGCAATATAATTTACAATTAACTAAATAATACTAAAGAATTTAATAATTACCAGTGACCCCATTGGCTTTTCATATATAAAATTATATACAAAAATTAACCCTTTTCTTGATAATTTGTACGGTTTATAGTTAATTCCTTAAATACCGATAAAATTACGCGATTTGCTCTTTAATACCACCGTTTTACACGTAGGCTGGCGTACGTGGTGCATTGGGGTAGAAAAGGAACAAATAAGCAAATCCTCTGAAATAAGTAAATCCTTAGCAGACGCTTTTAAGGTAATTTTATTGCATTCCAAAGCCTTCTGAATAATTGTATAGATAGCAGTGCACAGAAAAGATCGTATTTCGGGAAGACGTATATATACGTCCGGGGCAATTAACGCTTTGGCTGAGCGAGACATTTACTATATACGTCGGTGGTACTTATAAAGTCGTATTGTAGCATAGTATTATTGCATTCAATACATTGTAATTGAATGGGGGGCGATGAAAATTATGATTGAAAAGTGGGTCGCAAGTATTGAAAGTTTGAGAAACACTGTATTAAAGGGATAATTGACTCGTGGCTTCCAAGCGTTCATAGCGACGTTGCTTATTGATTTTTTGATGTCGGCTCTTCCTATCATGGTGAAGCAGAATTCGCAAAGCGTTGGATTGTTCACCCGCTAACAAGGAATGTGAGCTGGGCCTAGACAGTCATGAGATAGGTTAATTTTACCCACATGAAGACGGGTCGTTGCGATGTTAAAATCTGCCCAGTACGAGAAGAACCGTAGGTTCGGACATTTGGTACTGCGCTCGGTGGCACGAAGCTACCATTCAGGGAGATAACGGTTGAACAGGTTGGGTAAAGATGATGCGCGCCCCACGCGTCAATCGGCCGCTCGGACAGTTCGCCCTTACGAGCGAGAGGGGTGAGCGCGAGATGGCGAAAGAACTCCTTCCTATGCCTTTGAGGGCCCACCTAGACTCCGTGGGTCTTGCTACTACTAGCATGCCTTCGCGCGTGTGTGATGTGTGTGGGATTGAATTGTCTGTAGACGACTTTCCTGCTGGTCGTAAGTAGCAGAGCACGCACCATACAGCAGAACATTTACTGAGACCGTTTGTTGGATTTGCCCTTTTCTTCTTCTTGGTGTGAGGGGGGTTAGAGGCCTGGTGACGCAGCACGAAGTGACTCCTAGAGTGTGTGGCAGACGGAGGTCCCTGTAAGCTGCGACAAATCGGTGCATGAAACTTGCACAGGATTTACTAACTTGGTGAACATGGAAAATTCCTGATAAGTAAGAACGAGTGAAGTGATTCCTAGAGTGTGTGGCAAGCAGAGACCTAGAGCGGGGTGTGTGAATGCATGAAAGTTGATTATAAGGCAATGTGAAGAGAAGCAGAACTGACAAATACTGATGGTATCGGGGCCCGGATGCAAGCGCCGAACGCTCCTACAGGTCTAACTTGGCTCACACCTGATGTATTTCTGCTATCGCGAGTTGCGACAGTCGAACCCTAAGACGTTCGAAACTCTCCTTGTCTGTAGTCCTGGCTTTGATAATGGCCCTCCTCTACTACTTGGTGGGTTCCGGTGAATTGCGCCCGACCGGGGATGATAAATCTTGTGGATGAGCCTCATTTCGAGTGCGTTTTGACAGTTGGAAGTGAGGTGAGAAAGAGCTCCGGGCGCAGTCGGAGAGGGTGAGGAGTTGCGCGTGGCGAGGGTGGAATTATATATGTATATAATAAAATTGCCTGATAAAATCTATATGCAGGCTAAACATTTTGCCAATACTACTGGGCTACTTGGAATGGAAATAGTACTATGTGAATATGTCATTATTAGAAAACTAAATACACTAATGATTTGATTAATTAAAATTATATATCAGTAAAAATTGGATAAAACTACTTACTTAATGCAGAAAATCAAAATATCAGAGCATAAAGTGCTCTATTAAACACATCCCCACAATAACATTACCATTTTAACCTTCCCTCCAATAGGTAACCAACTTAGAACAGCAACGCAAAAAGTAAAAATTTGTATACTAAGTAGATCAGTTTTAAATAAAGCTTTGTATACTTAAAAACCTGAATTATTATACGGAAACTTTTGAAATAAAGAGGACAATCAATCCTAAAGAACAAAGCTATTAAAAATTTAAATATATTTACATTTATTTAAAGCATCTTGTGCCTGTATTCAGTACTACGCTGATACCAGCCCACACCACCTCTGTAATGTGATTTTTCCTGGATGAATATTGGGTTATTTCAACTACCCTTATCTCCAAACACGTCTGGCGTCCCACTCTTAACTGAATTTGGACTCGTCCGTAAACAGCCAATCCCTTTGCATCCAATCTTGATGTCTAGCAGATTACTTTTTACCGGCTGAATACACACCATTGGCATACAGACAACCCACATGAAGCCCATTTCGAATTGTTTGGAATGAGACCCTCCGTCATGTTGACAAAAGAAACTGTCTTGGAATCCGCATCATATCGACTGTTCTGTCTCGACAAGCTGTTTCATCGATCAATATTTGCAGTGGTGGAAAACTTTGTCCTGCCGACGTCGAACATGCCTTGTTGATCAGAATCGATTCTTACAATGACACTTATTGCCACTCCAACAGCATCCGCTCTGCAACTATTTGTTTTGGGCCGGATTCAAGTTTCCCAATAATACACCAAGCCATAGATTCCAGTAAATCACGTCGTCGTGACATTTTATTGTCATCTTTTTTCAAAATAACAGCCGAAAGGTTGAATCTAACATCTAAAAGAGCGAAAGAAAAAAAACAAAAACTGTTACTACGAAATCCCGATTTTGGCACTTATTCCTTTCTTCTGGTGCTTGACCTCATGTACGTTGATTTCCATATGAAGTTCTCTTCTGTTTTCTGCTACATTTTAGATTATGGATGTTTTGTTTTACATTAGTTACCAGAAGAAATATTGGCATAATTTCGTTCAGTCTATGTGCTCCCCTAATTTTTTTGAGCAGTACATATATAGCAGTCCCAGGGGCCGAGTGGTAGCGTATCGTGCTTCCATACCACAGGTCCTTGGGCTGGGCAAGGTCAACTCAGCTTTTCATCCCTTCAGTGGGTCGATAAATGAATACCAAGCTTACTTGGGGGCTAAGCACTGGGGGTTTCGCTTCAGACTGAGCACCTGATTGGGACATCTGCTCATGCACCTCAGCGGCCAATGGTCACGTATACTGAGATGGACACAGTAAACTTTGGCTCTCATGGGCAGTTGCACCACTGAGTTTAGTTTATATGTAGCAGTATATATATAGCTGTATATATATATATATATATATATATATATATATATACAACCAAGAGGTTTAGTTTATTAAAGTTTTTTATAGAGGGAACAACAAGCAGTGTGATAAATGTCACAGAGTAGAAAAATGCTTTTATAATGACTAAAAACCAACTCAAATAAAAAGAAGGACATTCGAGAATAAAAGGCTCCCTCTTAAACTATTTGCACTGGGGGAAAAAATCACAATGATAGAGTAAATTAAAAGAACCTTGACAACAATTTAACTATTTTTACCTCAATACAGTACATGAAATGATAATTATGTAGATACTAGAAATCAATAAACACATAAAATATATCTAATAATTTCTATGATATTGGCTTTCATTTAAGATGTTTGAAATAATCCCAAGAATCTTTCCTTACGCAAAAGTGAAGGTATTTCCGAAGGTTCTGAATCAAAACAAATTTTATACTGAAAGCTAGAGAATTAATTTACAACACCTTTGCTCTCTTATTCTTTTCAGAAAAAACATTTTACAGGCAGTTACTTTAAATGCAACAAAAGGAACTTTAATTTCATAAAGATGAAATAATTTTTAGCATCTTTGATGAAAATTTTTAACATCTCCTGAAGAATTTTGTCTGTGACAAGAAACTCTTTCGAAATATCACTTTTGAGTTTCTTAAAAATCTCGGTAAATGTCGTAAGAGAATGTTTGATCAAACACTTTTTGTTTGTTAATGATCTCAAGAGAATATTTACCATGACTTAGGCCAGCTGTGGTAGGAATACAGGTGATTTGACCACTCGGTGTCTGCTTCAGACGAGTTGCCAATCCTGCACTGTTGTGTTGGTGATAGTAAATAAGATCTTCAACAGCAGTAAATGCGTGCTTCTCAGACAAAAAATATTCTTTTTTGTTGTTAGTTTTAATATGATAATGTTTCACGTGAGGTTGGGAGCTAGAAAAGAGAAGAAAAAAAAAGCGATAGATTCCTTTGAAATACAACCAAATATAAAAAAGGATTTTTCAGCCATTTTTAAAATCCATTAAGGTATCCGACTACGTTCGGAACCGTGATTTTGCAGAAGTGTATAAATGGATAATATTTATGATATTTAGTGTCACTTAGATTAGAAAATGTATATAAAATTGTTTTAAGAATAGTATTACAATAAAAAATTATTTAAGTACAATATTTTGACAAAAAAGGAACATAAAAGGACCCATTTTCAAAATGTTCTCCTTTTGTGAAAAATGCTTCTATTATAATAATATTTTGCCTGTCTATGGCTCAGACCTCGGTACAGAGGCTCAACGAGAATTTTTGAAATATATAACTTAGAAGTGGGTTTATCCATGTCTTATGACAACAGAGAGGAGAAATTTTAAGAAAAAAACGACGATAATTATTTCAATGGGTTGTAACTCTGAAAATAATGTGAATTTTTCAAAAATCATACTTGAGTCTCTGTACAGAGGTCTGGGCTCTATACAGGCAAACTATTATTGTAATAGAAGCATTTTTCATAAAAAGAGAACATTTTGAATAAAGGTTATTCTAAGTTAATTTTTTGCCAAAATATTGTATTTAAATAATTTTTTTTTGTCAAAATGTCCTTAAAACAATTTTATCCGTGTATTCTAATCTAAGTGACATTAAATATCATGAAAATTATCCATTTATGCGCCTTTTTAAAATCACGGTTCCAAAACGTAGTCGGATACCTTAATTAAAGATACTAATTCTAGATTCCAGTCCTACGCAAAATGAAAGAAAAAAATATTTTATTTTTGAAATAAGAAGGTTCACTTGTATAAAGCGTGACTTTTTCTCGTGATGTAACTGTAGAAGAAAAACTCGACATTTCTTTTATAGTTTGTATATTGTTCTTTTGTGTGTGAACCTTTTATCTCCTTTCGTAATGCCTTTAAAAATTCTTTCTTTTAACAATATGCGTTGGTGTGAAAAACTTAAACAACACGTAACTCCACGAGAAATCATCTGAGAGACATGAAATTCAGAATTGCACTAACACGATGGTGAAAGTGTATAGTAAGGAATCAAACAAATAAAGGTTTTATTGAATTCTTTACACATGTCCTTGAGGAAGAACAACACAAGTAGATGTTACTTAGTATGGAATATGCCCTCCCCTTGCCACAATGGTTGTTTCGCACAGATTCAGCGCCAGATTCTCCAACAGTTCTTGATGTTAGAGGGCCGATTCCTCAATAAGTATGTGTTTCATTTAGTGAGTGCTTCTCGGAGGATGTAATCGTGCCGCAAGGTGTCTCCCCAAAGCGTCCCACACATGTTCTATTGCATTTACATCAGGGGAGAATGCTGGCCAATCCATTCTTCACTTACCAGTAGCTGCTGAATATCAGTAGATCGGTGTGGCTGTGCATTATCATCCATAAAAACGAAGTAGAGTCCAATAGCGCCTCGGAACAGACACAAATGGAGAAGGATCACCTTCTTACAATAGCAATCTCCGGTTACAAAACCTCTGTCGAAAACGTGGAGCTCAGTCCACCGGCCACCTCAGACGACGACTCCAAGACCACCTTAACGGTCTCTTTCCATGATGTTTACTAGGATGTCCCGACCTTTCTCAAAATCAACCAGAATCTCTTGTAGCACGGAAGCGACTCTCATACATAAAGAGAATATCGCTCCAATGATCCAGTTTTTCTGTGC